CTAGCTAAGTAAAATCGGTAAGGAGTAAAGCGAGTAACTTGTGGACAGAAACGTACCCGAACTAAGACACCCTCTTGTCGTGGTAGATGTCGCACCGTATACATGACGTCCGCAGAGGTTCGCGAACAGCAGTTCGCGTTACAGGCACCGACAGAGGAGGACTAACCACCTCAACGGGCTTATCGCGCCAACACCGGCTGACCAGACACTGCAGTATCTTCACAAGTTTAAGACCTAGCAGACATAGTCTAGCAAACTCGGCGACATTCTCTAACCATAGCTTTTCTATCCTCTTCACCACCAAAGACTGTGACACGAACTCAAGCGCGCACCTTGTGCGCCCCTGTTCCACTCAAGTCACATAATTTTCTGCCATGCTTTCCTTCCACGCTAAAACGTGCTATCCAGTGCGAAATTTACATTCTTTTTTCCCCGACCATTTTTAGCCTTGATTACACAGGTATGATTGACACAGCTTTTCAGGTATTTTGAAAAATAAAAAGTATAAATATGCCTTATATAGGTATGGTCCTACACTATATTATTCAAATATAGCATGATAGGTCCACTTTTAAATATAAACCGAATTGAAACTTTTAAATAGTTTGCAATGTATAAATGTTCATTGGAAATGTTCTTTGTAGTTCCCGTACAAGGTGGATATTCCCCTGGTCACTATTATGGTGGAGGACGAGTGGAACTGTATTGCTGATGCCGTAGCGAGGTTCAAACTGATGCCAAACTTCCCCCGCAGCTCCTGGGACTGGATGGGACTCTACAAGGTAAAGTACTCTCACTTCTTCTGGCTAAAAACATCTCAAGAATCCACAACAGAAAAACCATGCTCAAGCTCTTTCAAAACCCTGCATCATTTGTACATTTCAAGCTCACACTCTACACATCATTGGAATTAACCAATTTACACAATTAAAATGTATATAGAACCTTATGTTTATATTTGACTAGTAGTACCCTGATCTATTATAGCGTACAAAGTACATTTGCTCAAGTAATGTACTTAGGTAAAAAATGTAGGTACTTGTCTTTACTTGAGCATTTTCACGTAATAATACTTTTACTTCGCTCATTTAGTAGGCAAATGTTGTTTTTTACCCCACTACATTTATTTTATTGATTTAGTTACTAGTTAGTTTGAGGATTTAGATTATTTATACAACATCTTAATCAGCTTATATATTATCATGTATTATTATAGTTTAAGCTACCCAGTAGTATATAAAGTAATTAAAATAAACCAAACTTTTACCAAGGGCAACAATGAAGTCATGAACACATTAATGGAATAATAATGATAATAAAACAATTAAAACATATGGTGCTTAAATGGGCCATTCTGCATAACAAGTACTTTTGGTACTTAAAGTACATTCTGATGCCAATACTTTTTTACCTTACTTTGAATGCAGGACTTTGCTTGTAACTGAGTATTTTAACACTGTAGTATTGCTGCCGTTGCTTAAGTAAAATATCTGAGTACTTCTTCCACCTCTGGTATCTAACTGATAAAACATTGTATACTATCGTTGTATTTATTTACTGCTTTGTTAGTTATTTTTCTTTAAATAATGTGCAAGGCCGCTAAGTGACTTTTATTATAACACTAGGTGGGTTTCAAGCACCATAAGGACTATGTGGGATATGTGTGGACGAAGCAAGAGGAAGCTGATTTCACTCGACCAGAACATCAGGTAACCTTGTTTCGTCCTGATTTAGCTCCAGAAATAATTCTCTTTCACATTTAATAAATGTCTGACTGACTGTTTTTCCAGGTAACCTTTACTGAGGAGGAATTGCCCAAAGGCTCAGGCGACTTTATCTTGGGTTACTATAGCAACAACATGAGCACCATTGTGGGTGTCACAGAGCCATTTCAGGTAATCATGGTACTGCTTTCTTGAGATTAAAACAATCAAATGCATTAGAAGAGGACATTACATCATGTGTGCTGCTCTTTCTCTGTATTATATCTCACTGAAACCCTCCTTTTCATCTTCCTTTAGATCCAGCTTCCCACTTCAGGTCTTGAAGCCAGTTCTTCTGACAGCTCGGACTTCAGCTCAGAGGACGAAAGCACCGTCATCATGAAGACGAGGTCCCGCAGTCCCAGTCCACGCAAGGCCAAGCACCGCCACCACCACCATCACCACCACCGCAGCCACAGCCGAGGCAGCCCTGAACAGCCCAAAATGAAAATGCTCAATGTCACTGATGCCTCTCCATCCAACACTGCAGCGGAGAATGAGTGAGTCCTCTAGACCTCCAGCAGAGGGCAGCAGCAGCCAGGTGTCTGCTTCTGGGGAGAACGAGAAAGACAGTGAGGGTTCAGGGGTGTGAGACAGGTGACATATCCAACTACAGTGTCTTTTATTAAATACCTTCACGACATTGTATGTTTTCTGTAATGAACATCTACAGTTTTCTGATGCCATCCTTTTCAGGAACAGCCATCTGGTTTGTCCAGAAGGCTAACTTTGCCTTGAGTTGTTCTATTTAGCCGTGCACATTGTAGATTTTTTATTTTTAAACCTTTAATTCTGTCCCGTGTTCCTTCAACCTTTGTCCTTTTCTCAGGTGTGGACAGTACAGGGAGCTGACACCTTGCATTAGGAAATAAGTCCCCATATTCCAACAATGATTTGAAACTGCACTGACCTAAATAGCAGTCACGCTTTAGGAGGAGTAGGACATACTTGACAGAGACATTTCTCCCATATCAACTAGTCTGCTTAGTTGTGGAACATGTAGCATATGGAACAAATCAGCTCTGACAAAACGGACCATAGAAAAAAAGTGAAAAACAGATTTTGTTTTAACACCAAGGCCCTAAAACCTCCCACAACGGCATACTTGAGGGGTTGAGGCTCTGAAGATAGAGAAGGCTAATATTTGAACAACTGTCATACATGTTTCAAGCACCACAACATATTTGTTTATGATTAAAACAGTGATAATAATAATAGCTTACTAGGCTACGGAAAAACGAGATGTGACCATTTCAGGCTAATATGCTACTGCTACGATTATGAAATGCATGTTACTAATTACTGTGACCTTTAACAAAGATAATGCTGAGACGGCAACCGTTGCTGTGCAAACATTGCCAACATACATACAGTCAATGTGCATTAGACAGTCTAGAACAGGGGTCTGCAACCTTTTTGACCAAAAGAGCCATTTTGACCCCTTTTCCACCAATTATTTTTGTCTGGAGCCGCAAAACATATTTGATAGCTTATAAAGTTGTATATATTGTTACATTATAGACAATTTATTGCATTTATTATTTATTACATTATAGAAAACTGTTTACCTCTAATAATAAACAAAGAACTCTTCTTTCTTACACAGGCCTACTTTAAAATAAATCAACACAGCACTCGGGGAGTCCTCTGCACATTTGAAGAAAATTAATATAATTCAAATGGGCCCACTTTGAAATAAATAAAACATATAGCTGCACCCTAAAACGAGTTAACTTATTCAATTATGATTGAAGATCGTCAGCTGTCTTCCTCTTCCGTGTTTTTCCTCCAATACGTAAATGCTGCAGCACCTTTCACAAATTCTCCACATATCAAACATACCGGTAAGCCAGCATCGTTTGCTGTGAAAGCATATAACTCAGTCCACGCAGAATTAAATCCTGTGTTCCTCCGATACTTTTATTTTCTTTGATTTATCCATAGTTCGCTCATCGAGCCGGGGGTCAGGTTATTCGCCTGCAAGAAAAGGCGCTGGTGCTGGTGACATGACGCATATTTTATCTAGGATCTTAATTCTCTCTCTTATCTTATTTTTTTATGTGTCACAGTATCACCTCAAAATACAAGATACGAAACATTTTCAATCGTGCAACAAAATAGAAATAGTCCTACAAATATTTTTATTTTATTTCCTTCTTCTTTTTGTCTAAGCTCAAGGGAGCCAGAGTAGAAGGCTTAAAGAGCCGCGGGTTGCCGATCCCTGGAAGAACGAGATTTAACAATGCCAGGCTTATGCAATAATAACTTATTGTGGTGCCCAAAACAAGTTTGAAATTAGTCTTCCCTTCAGAGCCTCACCCACCGCCTAGGCTCTTTTGGATCTTCTTTGCTTTGTAAACTCAGCATGCATTACACAGCAACCTCTTACGTAACACGGGGAACCTTTCCCAAGATCCACCACTGGAAATAAAGTCCCTTCAGTAAGCATGAGAAAAGAGAGCATGGACACTGGAGTTCAGGGGGCTCGGCCACCGGCCCTGGCAGCAGCAGACCACATGTCAGCTTAGAAAGTGAATATGAGCGTGAAGGCCTTTAAATAGACCACCACCCCATAGCAGTGGGATGTGATGGCCGTGGGAGGCTAGCTGTAAGAACTAGTTGTTGGCTACTTAATCTGCTTTACTAACTTCAGTGTTTACTTCAGCAATATCTGACCCAGGAAACATTTACAGTATATTGCTTAGACACATACCTTTTATGTGAGTGAATGAGCCATATTTATTTAAAGTCAAATAAAAAAGCTGATAATCAATCCTGACATCTCTGACAACTGTGAGCAGGATCTCTACTATTTAGAGCTACTACAGGCCTTTGCATATAGCGTTAGTAAGTATGCAAAGCTAACGTGTTCCGCTAATGACTTTACTTTCATTCAGTTCACTGCTTATGTTTCTTGTGTTTTCATCTTGCTTAGATACTCCCTTACTGATCCTGGTGGTTAGCTGACAGTGACAATAGTCACAGTAGTCGTGTTGCATTGTTACCGTGTGACCTATGATGCATCATACTAGACACTTTGTACTTTTGGGCTGTTAGCATAGGACAGTGTATGCTGTAGTAGCTGTAATCGGTTGTTGTGTGTATGTGTTTTTATCGACGTGAGTGTGGTTTGGATGGGGGGGGGGGAATGTGTGTGTGTGTGCTAGAGTTAGCAGTGAATGGTGTGTGAGTGCGTTTGCATGGTTTGCAGCTGGACATACTGTACATTCCGGTGCTGTGATTTTTGTGCCGTAAAGTGCTGTTTTGGACTCCTCTTTGTTATAATTGTGGCTGTGAAACTTGTTAGGAAAACTATGTAAGGACAGTATACAAATGCTACTTCAGTGTACGTCTTAGGTGAAGAAAACGCAGGAGAGCAATGCCTGCATAAATCTAAAAAAGTTCAGATCATTTTATAGTGCATTCATGTATTTTCTTGTTTTCAAAATGAAAAATATAATGGACCTTTGTTTAGAGTAAGATGTTTGAAAAAGATTAAGATTGTATGACTTTGTCCTACTTTAGGTGATTTAGATAAATATGGTCAGCTATGCAGTAATGACCAGTGTCTATTTATTGTGAAATGTTAATGAAATAATGCTCTGTCTACAGAATGTTATTGTTTTGTAATGATGTGGCTAAAACAGAAGAAGTATGTATCTAAACTACAAATATGAAATATCATATAATACATAAGATAGATGACAATCTATGCCACAAAGATTATTTTACTTAAATTATGTATTTATTTTCTTATTTAACTGTAAATGAGCCTGAATTCTGCTGGCCAGTGAGGGAGCATTATTTCAATGTATATTATAGGATATTGATTATTGCAGGAACTATGAAGAGAGTGTCTGATTCTCCCATTTACATTTGAGAAAATCCAAGTTTAAATGTTGCTTTTATTGTAAATGTAGATTGTTTAGTCTACAGGACTTTGTATAATTGTGAAATTGACAAAAAATGAGGAAGTCTTTGAGATAATATTTGTTATGAGAATTGTTTATCTCTGTGAAATTACCTGATCGGCGAGGCGAACATGTTTTTAGGGGTTGGTTCCTTAGTTATCAAACTGTCCAAAGAAATAATACAACCCTCTTCAAATTGTGATGTCTGTGTTTTCATTGATTCAAAAGGGCTAACTACAGTGTAATGTTTCTAACGAGGAATTTACATATCTGAACAACATGATACAATAAAGAGCTTAATATTCCTGGAGACTAAAAGATAGCGATAAAGAAACAGAAACAGTGTTTACGATGTTGGGTTACAAAGTAAATAAGGGCAATACTCAATGCAGTCTGTGCTGCAAAAACATCTGCACAAATAACTGCAAGTCATATTTACATAATGACAATGAATGTCATTAATGCAGCAAAAGTAGTATCTTTAATTTGATGTAAAATAATTTTACTTCAGTCAATGAATATCAGTATTAGAGTGGACCTCCCGTCTTTTTTTTTATTCAGCTTTCATCCATTCAATCCCCTTGATTTATCATTAATCCATGTGATTGTTGCATACTATTGACTCTCTGAATAAATGTCAGTAACCGACACATTACATCCTGTAAAAGGCAACAGCAGGTGCATCTTGCATCATGCGTTTGCCCTCTGAAAAGAAAGTGTCCACCCTGCAAATTCATGGTGACAAATGACTACCGCTCTGATGCAACACTGCTCAGGGATTGAATTCCTCTGTTTAGTGACGATTAACACAATAATAACATTATTAAATAAACGGATAAAAAAGGGCACTTGCGGACCATACTAATGACTCTGTAGTGTTATAAGCATGGATAGTTTATTATGGGTTCGAATTTCCATCAAAATTGCACAATTAAAATGTCAAATTCTGACTTATAACATAATGACAGTATGTGTGTGTGCTGAAGCAAACCCCTTGATTTAAGACTTTGTATGACGACAAACCGATATATTATTGGTGTGATAAAATAACAGCTGATGTGAGTTATCTAACAATCTCAGTGACTGACCATTAAAGGTATAAATTTGATCTAGTCCACACCTTCATAAATGCTTTGTCATCATGACCAGCAATAGGTTACATGTTATTAGAAGAGATTATTCTTTTGTGCAGCATTTTATATACTCACAATGACAAGCAGAAAATGTGCACATCAGAGTCAAAAACGTTGAAACCATATTATCCTAATGTCAACATTGAATTCTGGATGAATCTATCTTTTCAAGCTAAAGCACAGGGACCGGAACTGCTTTGGAGCACAAACCATAGCAAACTGATCCTTGGACCAACATTAATTAAACCCATCTGTTTCATACAAAGGTACAACATGTTCACAATCAGAGGTTTTGATTATATTACACAACAGGGCCTGAAGGGTCGAAGTGAGATGGGAGCTTTTTGAGTAAAGCATAATCAAGTTAAATTAGGATTGTATGCGCTGCTCTTCTCTCCACTTACCAGTTTTACCTTTGTTGCAAATGTATTTACAGGTTAATATGGTTGTTATACCAGGAAAGCGCATGTTCTGATTTTCCTGTGATAGCTCAAATGAATGCAGTTTATTAGATTTACCATACCAGTGTTGGTTTAATCATGTTTCTGGGACATATTTTACAAAAACAGTTTTAAATGACACATCCGGAATAATAGAAGTCTTTAACTTTGGATGTCCATTTAACATTGAACCCCTAAGCTTTAAAGAAGCCTTCTAATTAATATATGTTTGTCTCAGTTGTTTATTAAATGAAAGGTTTTAAGCTGAATTTTCCTGTTTGCAGAATGACAGCCAGTCCTCTCTTCTTCCACCTGCTCAAAACCGAACATGAGATGAAATGGGAAGAGTGGTCAGCATGAGAAACATCAAGTGTCAGGCATTTGAACAATATAGGTTTGTTTTGCAAATAAATGACATCTTTTCCAGTATTTTATTTTTATGAATGAACACATTGTTTTATTGTTAGGATTAAGATTAGGTTTATGTTTTGGTTATAGTGAAAGTATGCCATTGTATTTATACATTGATGGTATTATGGCTGGGACAAAACACACAAAGGATTGTTTGGGTGTTGCTGGCATGGTGGTGGAGAAGTTTAAAATGCAAGTCCTGCTGTTTTAGTTTTAGTCAGATCCAAACATATTATCATTGAAGATTGGTAGGGTGTCTAGCTTGTGAATCTAATGTAAAATGACAACACAACTTGTGACTATTACATCATCTACTTTTCCTTTCAACACATTTTAGTCTAACAATGACATACACACTTAAGGTGCGATATTTTTTCCCCTCAAAGACGTTGATAAAGCATGGCGCTCTACGAGTTTGAGGGACCTGAGTATATTAATATTTGAGTATTAAATGTTTTGCTTCTTTGTACTTCTACCCCACTACAATTCAGAGGTAAACAAATGTAGTTTTAATCCACAACATTTATTTCATACCTTAAGTTTTGTAAATTTGGATCAATGATATTAAATGTAATCAACAATTGATAAAACCTAAAAGTCACACCTGGAGTAAATCCACATGCTACCTTGCAACATACAAAAGTATTACAATTAGCAGCTTTACCAGCTTTGATAAACACATTATTGCATCAATAATTATAATCAAAACACATAATATATATATAATTCTGAAATGGGCCAATCTGCATAATGAGTACTTTTACTTTTGGTAATTTAAGTATATGTTGATGTTATTACTAAGTAGGATTAAGAATGTAGGACTTTTGGTTGTAACCATAGGTTGTAACAGAGTATTCTTGCTCTCTGGTACTTTTACTTCACTACACATTCTACTTCTGATATTTTGATGATAGCACATGGTCGCTGTATGACTGCCATTCTGCAATGCATCTCCCTGTTACAGTATGCAACCGTACACTGTATGCTGCAAGCCCTGTGATTGGCTCGATGGTATGGCCCCGCCTCCTGGTGACGTCAACGCGTCAGACTTTATCCTTAAATAGTGGAGCTCTGCGCCATGAGGCTCACGCTTGAGGATCAATACACCGAGAAACGAGGACAGTCCTATAGAAGAGGCTCTGCTAGCTGAAGAGATATCTTCATATTCAAGTTTTACATAGCAGCAGCAGCAGCCGTTATCGACAATGAACGGACAGTTGAATGGTTTTCATAACGCCCTCATTGATGAGGACTGTTTCTTGTTCACCTCAGAGTCTGTCGGGGAAGGACATCCCGGTAAGCGCACACACACATACACAGGTTTATGCGTCTGGGGATATTAGCCACATTAATAACTGTATTTTAACGACGCTTTCTGCCTAACATATAGTATATGTTAACAGTTAACTGCAACATGACGTACTGGACTATACATTAATATATTTGGACGTTACGGCCTTTTCCGTTAGCTGGGCCGGTGTCAAGAGAGCATGCGCTACTAGCTAGCTTTAATGTTAGCACGCTAATCTTGACTGATCCCGTCTGTGCGCCGACTGGAAACACACACATCTGTTTGTACCCGTCAATCACTGATTGGGTGATTGACCGATACCATTACAATATCATTTTTGTTTAACATTTTCCTGAACGTGCCAAATCTTCCAGGGCTATTCCTGAAGCACGCGAGGCACAATGGTTGGCCCACACAGCAGGGAACCATGGTGTATGTTTATTAACTGGCATTTAGTGTCGGCAGATGAAATTAGTTTATTGTTTAGAAGTGTGTATCACGCTTGCCTTTTGGTCCCCAGGTAGTTGCGCGCCCTCCTTAACCCCATCACATGTGTTCTCATGCCGAAATGGCGACTCGAATGGCTCCGAGCCACTCCCCCTGCTCGAAACTGGCGCTAACGTACCTCAGTTTACATGCACATGGGTTTGCTGCAGTCTTTTGTTGTTTCCGGTGTTAAGTTGCATTGTTGTTGTTGTTTTTCAGACAAGATCTGTGATCAGATCAGTGATGCAGTTCTTGATGCTCATCTCAAGCAGGACCCTGATGCCAAAGTTGCATGTGGTAAGTACGATGTTAAATGGACTGTACTTGTATAATGCTTTATCCAGTCTTTACAACCCTAAAAGTGCTTTGTCATACTAAAAGTAATCATTCACACTTCGTTCATACAAAGCAATGTGCCTATTGCTCAAGTAAGCTTGCATTCATATACACGAGCAACGTGTCTTGCCAAAGGATACATCAACATGTTGGGCGCTTCACACCGTAGTACTTTTCCCAGGAATAGTTCTGATAGTTCTTGGGATTTTGATTTCACACCAAAAAGATCTGGAACTAGAACCTAGTTAATGCGAACCTTTTCACCCCTTTTCAGTCCCTGCTAAAGATGGGGTACTTTCCTGGGGAGGAAAAGGTTCCAATTTCTGATTGGCTGGGCGAATTGCAAACCACGCTCTGTAAAATTCTGAAAAGTTTTGTGAAGCCGCCATTTTATTTGCTCGCAATAGCATTATTAGCATTAGCCCAGCGCACCAACGGAGAGAGAGAGACTAACTTACGACAACACAAAATAAAGCGGTGGAGTGATGAGGAGGTGTCGGCGCTTCTGGCAATTTACCCAGGACTTCGGGTGGCGATTTACTGCCTCCCGGAGTCCGGGGGACTGGGTGGCAGTATACACCGTGAAGTTGTTTGTGGCCTGCCAACCCAAAGCAGAAGAAGAAGTAGTGACGTCAGCGGCTTAATTTGCCTAATCCTCCCTCAGGGACTTATTCCAGTGTGAACGCAATCTACTAGGACAGTTCTAAAGACTTTGGCGGGGCTAAGTACGGCAAAGTACTTGGTGTGAAAGCAACTGTTGACTGCATAGGGCTTGGCTCGAACCCGCAACCTTCCGATTGTAATTTTGTCCCCCTGTCTGTTTGCTCAGTACACTTGTTGACATTACCTTGTTTTTGCATCCTTCTTGCCTGTTGCAGAGACTGTTGCCAAAACTGGGATGATCCTATTGGCCGGTGAGGTGACATCACGTGCCAACGTGGACTACCAGAAAGTTGTTCGTGACACAATCCGCCAAATTGGATATGACGACTCCTCCAAAGGTGTGGCCCATTGTTGTTTATTTGATTGCCTAATCTGTTAGCTGGTGTTTAAATAGTGGTTTCTTAATCTGCTGCTCTCTGTCTCCTGCGCAGGTTTTGACTACAAGACCTGCAATGTTCTTGTGGCCTTGGAGCAGCAGTCTCCGGACATCGCTCAGGGTGTTCACATTGACCGCAATGAGGAGGACATTGGAGCAGGGGACCAGGTCAGTAGGGGCACACATTATTTTTGTCAGACATATCTCTACTAAAGTTAGTTTACTGGTCTTTTTAAAGAAAATCTTTTTTTAGAATAGATGTATTATTTATTTTTTAACAGACTAAATGTCTCTTGCTCTGCAGGGCTTGATGTTTGGATATGCCACGGATGAGACTGTGGAGTGTATGCCTCTCACAATTGTCCTTGCCCACAAACTGAATAGTAAGATGGCTGAGCTGCGCCGCAATGGCACCCTTCCATGGCTCCGGCCAGACTCAAAGACACAGGTAAAGCTGATGTACTTGCTCTTATAAGCTACTATACATTTACTTTTGTTAGTGTGATTTACCTAACTCTTTATCCCTGCACAGGTTACCGTCCAGTACCGCCAGGACCATGGCGCCATGCTTCCAGTGCGTGTGCACACCGTTGTGGTCTCTGTTCAGCATGATGAAGATATTTGCCTAGAGGAGATGAGGGACACCCTGAAGGAAAAGGTGGTCAAAGCTGTGGTTCCATGCATCTATTTGGATGATGACACAATCTACCATCTGCAGCCCAGCGGACGATTTGTTATTGGAGGCCCACAGGTGAGGTGTCGGTAGGGCGTGGCTTTGAAATCATATTTAGCCTGGGGGGGTACATACCTGTGTAACAATTATTTCTTTATTACAGGGGGATGCCGGCCTGACGGGGCGTAAAATCATTGTTGACACTTATGGAGGCTGGGGAGCCCATGGCGGTGGGGCCTTCTCTGGGAAGGATTACACCAAGGTGGACCGCTCGGCTGCTTATGCCGCACGCTGGGTGGCCAAGTCTCTGGTGAAGGCTGGGCTCTGCAGGAGAGTGTTGGTCCAGGTAAGCGGTAAACTCAACGCACTTCGTTTTTAGAGTGGGGCGACAAAGAGGTTCCTCGCTGAAGTGTTTCTGCTTGATATAATACATGTGCGTGTGTTGTATTAGGTTGCCTATGCCATTGGAGTTGCCCATCCCCTTTCCATTTCTATCTTCCACTACGGGACCTCCAAAAAGAGTGAGAGGGAGCTGCTTGATATTGTGAAGAAGAACTTTGACCTTCGTCCTGGAGTTATTGTCAGGTAATGTATATCCATCCCCTGAAGCCACCTCTTACTTAGTGGAACAGCAGATCCTTCCGGTTTGCTGTGCCTTGTGTGTTTTATTGAATTGCCCTGTCCAGGATTTCGTTTATTTTATGTGAAGTATTTAGAAACTCTGCAGAGCCATTATAATTCTTCTTTTGCTAACGTCAGCAATTATTTTTATTTGTTTTGATCAACCACTTTACCCTATCTAATTCTACTGAAATTATATGGCTTGGGTCACACATGTGGGCATTAGTGGCAAAAGGTCTCATTAATCCGTTATGCATGGCATATTTTGTATAGAAGCCCTGTAGCTTATAGTTTGATAAGCATCCTTTTTGTAAGCCGTAGAGTGGTTTGCTGCTGCAGTCACCACACTGCTCAGGGCTGAATGTGGTCTTCATGGTAAGTGTCGACGATTCACGTGTTTCCCTCTATTCCAGCTGATCCAACAAACATGATTTTTAATTGATTTTTTTTAATGCTTTTTGGTGGCTCTTATTAGCTATTGTGAGAATGCTTATGTGCATTTGAAGTCACTAGGTGCGACTGCTGCTAAATGTG